ACCGAATTCAAAACTTTCTGTCCGAAATAAATGCTGGAGTAAGGAAATCTATTCTACTCACCGTCTTTTAAATAGAAGCCATCAGGGAACGCCTGAAAATAATAATCGCAGGACTAGATCTATTTACAACAAGAATATGACCATCCAAGTCGTCGCCAAACATTCTTGATCTCATAGTGTGTGACTGTTTCGACGAATGTTGACGATTAGGCACAGTTCAACAGTGAGAAACGACGTGATGTCATTAAAAAAGCTGTCCTCCAAAATGTCGCTAAGAAATTAAAGGCTGACCATAATGACTGGTTAGTTGTCTTTTATAGGATCACGGAGAGTATTATAACCTGTAGCCTTGTGCTCTTATCAGTGACGTCATGATATCGTTAATTGGAGAGCATTGAATTATCGACCGGACCGATGACGCATGAACCCTTGCGAGCAGTCCAAAGTCTTTATCGTTCTTTCTCCCTGCCTACCATTACCTGATGAGTCCGGAACACTAATTTCAGGCCCCGCGATACGAACCACGTATTTCTGACATATTTGGTTTATGTGCAAACCAAATGGACCACATCACACCGTGAAATAAAAAATAACATTTGTACAAGATCCAAATCGGCTGTGAATGTGGGAGACTGTAATTAGCAGACTAGGAATAACTCAAAAATGGTGAATCGCATAATAACAATCTAAAGGTCAAAAAACGCTCATAAACAAAGGAACATGAATATGCATAGTTTACCTACTTAACAGTTATATAAATACAATTATAAAAATTCATGTAACGTATTGGTCCTTCAATAGTTCTTAAAAGTTAACATTCATGATTTTCATCGGGAAAAGTCTAGAAGGTTATACGAAGAAAAGCTTGCTGAGGAATCTATAGCAAACCCTAAACGCTTAAGTCATACATAAGCTAACGAACTCAGAGAAGAAAAAAATTCCAGCATCATGAGAAGATGATGTTATTGCACCATTAGTGGAGGAAGATTTTGGTGAAGCTTAGGTATTTTGGAACATAATTTAGCAACATATATACCATTGAGATACCCTCCCCTCCAGTTCATATAAATCCCCACACATACACACACTGTGAGAACTGTGTCCATTAAAGAGCCCAATGTATTTGGTCTGCTGAATGAGCATGGTATAGGCAGGCCTACGAATTGAGTAAATTGCTCTCTTATAAATTAGATTTTACACGATATCAAAAGGCCAACATTTTGTGATGAGCCAAAAGTTTATATTGATGCGTTCATTTTCTGGAGATGAACTGTTCAAAAATTCTACTGCAGAATTTTTGTAAGTAGCTGAGTGATAAAAGTTGTAATCAATTCATAGTGTGTAGTGTGGCGTCGAGTCGTGGTTGACTATGATCACCACTACGCCGAAACTACAAGCCAGTTATTAGGTTGGATCCCTCCGTGGGCCAAAAGCTTGGAGGCAGTTGACGGTTGTAATAAGATATATTTGTTGGCGATCTCGTGGTATCAAAATAATACCGAGATCGTGCCAAAGTTTACAATTGAAACTACAGAGAGCACGCGAGTCTGTGCAAGGTTACAGTCAACGGAAGAACGTGTGTTTTCGGTACACTTAAACAAACAGGTGCAGTAAAGCAATCACTGATACACATGTTTATAATAATGGTGGTTTTCATTATATCAGTCGCGTTCTCATCATAAAAGTAGGTCACAATAAGGTATATTATTATCAATATTTGGTAGTACATTCATTTGAAATGCAAGAAATTTTCGATAACTGGAAAATGCTGATGAGATTCCATTTGTGTTGAATTGAATCGGTCTTCATTGTTTTGAGGTGATCAGAACACATTTTCTAGAGTATTTCTGTCGCGTTGTCATCATAAAAGCAGGTGGATACCGTTCCCTGTCAGTCAATTGTGGTTGATATAATTTGATAGTGATTTACACTACTTTATTTGTCGACCAAGAGGTCAACGTTTAGTGTGTCTCGGCCACTTTTTCTAGTGCTATTTATAACAGCATTCACTATGTTAATCGTCACGGGAAGCATGCTGTTTTTGTCTCAACAGGACTTTTCACGATACCGCGCCTAACTATTTTTACTAAACCGTTTAAGCCTCTGGCGTTCAATTCGTACAACCTTCGTGGTACTACCATTCACCCTCGTCGCCCTCACCGCTTTCAACTTGGATTCGGCAGTTCGTGATAAAAAACGTAAGTCTAATTCGTAACTCTAATCATCAACTGTGAATCATAATTCTTATTCTTCAAGCTGCTTTATAACCCTCATTTCGCCCCAGTAAGTAGGTAGACACGCAAAAGGTTACTTAGGCGTCGTTCAAAGGTCGTCCATAAAATAATAGTCTCACTAAATTACCACGAAGTTTGCACAAATTTAACGCCTGCAGCTTTCAAACGGTTCAGTAGGAATGGCTATGTATGACTCTGTCAACAGTGCTGTTCGGATGCTAACAGCTTGCTAACCGTGACCATCTCATTGGTTAGTGCTGCTAAAAACTGTTTTGGCAAGAGTGGTCGCGACACATCAAAAAGTACTCGCTCTGTTGACACGCAAATTGGCGTGAGGCAAACTAAAGTGAGTTCGAAAACTTTACATGCCACCCCTAGGTAAAAGTGATCATGCAGTTTTAACTTTTGACTTCCATATAACTGTCAATCATGATCAAGCGTCAACTCAATCCAGACCTAACGTCTGGAAAGCAAGCATACTGGATATCATGCACTCGGCATCATTAGTAGATTGGACAATAGACCCAGAATCCTCAATTGGAACGGCTTGGGATGCATTCCGAAATTTAAACTTAAAAGTGACCGCACCCCACATTTTTTGGACTATACTAAGGGGGCCAAGAAACTCTCCACCATGGTTCAATAGGGAGATCCGCATCCTCCTCCGTAAGAGAAGAAAACTGTGGTATAGATTTAGGCTACTAGGGTCTGATGAGACAAAATCTCAGTACCGAAAAGCTAGGAATACCTATGCCTCGACCCTCCATAAGTCTAGAAAGCTGTACGAAGAAAAAATTGTTAAGGAATCCATAGAATACCCTAAACGCCTGTATTCCTATATAAACCAAAAGACAAAAAAAAGAGCAATTATTCCTGCACTATGGGGAGACAGTACTGCCGCATCATTAGTGGAAGATGACTTTGGTAAGGCTCAAGTGTTCTCAAACTACTTTAGCAATGTATATACCATAGAAGCACCCTTCCCGTCAGCGCATACAAACCCCCCACACATACACTGGATAGCGTGACCATTAATGAACTCGATGTCTTTGATCTGCTAAATAAGCTTGACATAGGTAAATCCATGGGGCCCGATGAATTGCATCCTAGGCTACTAAAGGAATTATCTAACTTCGTTGCGAACCCTTTAAGTATATGCTTTAAGATATCCGTTACGCAGGTTCATTTACCAAAAGACTGGAAGAACGCCATAGTAAGTCCTGTCTTCAAAACAGGTACGAAACATAAACCTGAGAATTACCGACCCGTTAGCCTAACTAGTGTGGTTGCTAAAATCTTAGAAAAGATTATTCGGAAAGAGCTGTTTAAATATCTCGATGTAAACCGAATCCACTCGGAGAAACAGCACGGTCTCAGAATAGGTTATTCTTCTATCACTAACTTATAAGTCACTCGAGAAAGCCGGTGCGCTTTTAAGGACCAAAAGTTACTTGTAGACATGGCTCACATCGGTTTCAGCAAAGCTTTTGACAAGGTTTCCGCACAACCGGCTGTTATATAAGATAAAAAATGTCGGAATTAGAGGCAATCTATCGACGTGGATAGAAGACTTCCTTGTTGGGCGCCAACAAAGAGTACGGATAAACTCAAAATTATCTGGCTGGGAAACTGTGCTTAGTGGAGTACCCCGGGGTACAGTTTTGGGGCCAGTGCTATTCCCCTTTTATGTAAATGACCTTCCTCTCTTACTATCATCATCGGTCTTGCTATATGCTGACGATGTCAAGATATGGAGAACGATACGATGTAAGGGTGAAAGCTCAGAACTTCAAAATGACCTGAAGAAATTATCCGAATGGTCTGATACATGGCAGCTGCCGATAAATACTTCCAAGTGTGTTGTGATGCATATAGGTCATCCAGGTTCAGATACATACACGATGAATAACACTGAGCTACCTGTTGTCCAGACATGTAATGACTTAGGAGTCATCGTTAGCCGAGATCTGAAGACTACTGCACACTGCCGTGCAATGGCCGCCAGAGCTTTAAGAACTTTATGGTCAATACGTAGGGCTTTTATTCATGTCGACGCTCAAACGTTTTTGACTTTGTATACAATGTTCGTACGTCCTAAACTTGAGTACTGCATACAAGCGGCTAGCCCCTGCTTAAAAAAAGACAGTGAGCTTTTGGAAAAGGTCCAGAGAACAGCAACTAAGCTGATTCCCGTAATAGCGAAACTTCCGTATGATGCTCGACTGGCCAAGCTAAACCTATTCCCTTTGTCATATCGTAGAACTAGAGGCGACTTGATTACAGTTTTCAAATTGCTTAGTGATAAATTTGCACCTGATATGCCCTCATTTTCCCTATCTTTCAAAACAGAGAATTGACGAGGACACTCCAAAAAAGTTCACAAGCCCAGAACAAATTACATGTCAGCTGATTATGGACTTTCCCACCGAATCATCAACGAGTGGAATTCATTACCTCAACACGTGGTTGAAGCTCCATCCGTAGATTTTTTCAAAAGAAAGTTGGATCAAATGAGAGAACGCAATTGCCAGGACTAACACAGGCCATCAAGCCTCCTGTCCTTTCCAAACTGAAACGGAAACACTGTCCTTTTTAAGTAGCGCGCGTCGTAGTAATCACTGAGTCATTTAGTTTTATAACGCCTGAAAGTGTTTCAATACATTTCCATATTTAGGGTAACTAACAACCTTTCTAATTATGGTTATTAGATAATTAGTTCATTGAAACTTTCGACTTTAGAGTTTATGTGTCTGAGGAGTGACCTTCCACAAGTGTCTGCTTTTAATGTTAACGTTACGATAAATGTTACAAATGGGTTTTAGAATCCAACCAAACTGGGATAAGGCGTTAAGGTAACGGAACATTATTTTTGTAACTGGTAGTGAAAATGAAAAATACATATGGTTTCATCAGTATGACACCGGTGAGTCTTATGAGCCGCTAATTTGCAAGTTTCTACCAAGTATCACAAACTGGAGAACAAAGGGTTTTCGCTGGTACCGGATAACCAAAATGTTTTATGCGATTTGATCACACCTGTAATGCTAAGTTGTCAAATGAGCGGTTTTTTAGAAGCTTTTAAAACTATCGTCAGAAAACCCAATGATCAACAAATTTTTTCAGTGTCCAGATTCCTCCTTTGATGTTTCGAGCGGTATTTCTAGAAATGCAGGTCATAATTCAGTAACCTATAATCCTCAGCCTCGTCCTCATGTATCTTCTTTTGATGTTAGTGCAAGTGGTGAACATTTTATTGCTTCTTTCACTGGGTCATCTGTAAACTTGTATGAAACAGAAACGGGGAATATTCGGGTATGTACCGGTCTTTCATGTTGTTTTGCTATGAATATTTCACTTCTACAGAACTGTAGCTTAGATAAAGTATGAACTTCTGTTCTTTTGCTGTGTTCAGTAGTACCTGCAGGTACGGCTTCATCCTCAGTGATGATAAGACGTGAAATATAACCTCAGACAAGGCACCAGCTGAAATACTGTGATCAAAATATATCAGAAAGACTAAAATTTGTGAACGAACTTTCAGGGACGCTCAGGTGACCTTGGAAAACTCACCTAATTCATGAGGTCAGAAAATGTTATAAATCAGTGTGAGGAATTCAAATTAAGGTTTGGAGCTTAGAGTTAAGAATTAGATTTGGGGATTTCGTCACTGACCGACATCAGCTAGAATGCCGAAACGCTATTTAGCCAAGTGGGTGAGTCAATATCGCACCAAAATCCGAACGAGACCTGTTCTCTGCTTTTTATCGAGGAGTTGAAGTCATTGTTGAATGTACCGTCAAAATTAGACCACATAATGTATGTGGATATCACGAGGTATGTCTGCTATCAGTCTCACTTAATATGTAAACCACCGTCGTATTCGGGTTCCATAAAATGCTTTGGAGGAAACTGAGGAGTTACCTTGGTTTCAGTCATATCTAGGATATCTTAACTGCGATTCCACTCTTAACCGCCATTATGCCTGATGTATGTCATGAACGTTAGTTGATCGCAAGACTGTCTCGAACTAAAAAAACTTTCAAATGTTCTTTTCGAAACGTATATCTGGGAGACCTATTGATATCTTTACAATAGCTTACAAATTTATCTTTAACACATTTTCAATCACACCCGGAAATCGACTGTGATTTCCTATGATTTACATAAACAGTAAATTGTTCTTTCAAAAAAGGTGAACATGTTTTGGGTATCAGTACTAGTTTTCGTTATTTAGGGAGACGTTATTTTATCTTCCGTAGCTTACTTTCAGTTTTTTCGTGGTAAAGCGTTTCGTTTCTGTCATCCGCAGTCAAAAGAAGTAGACTTTCTTACGTCTGTTACAGTGGACTTAATATTCTTAGTCGCCTTGATGTAACTGGACTTTCAAGTTTGTATTGATCTGCCTCTTCCCCATATAGTATGTATATTTTACATATATGAAGACCTTGGGTTACATTTAAACCTATCGTAATGACTTAGGGAAACGTATATTCGTTATCTTCTTGTAACTCGTCGTTTCGTAGTTTTCATTTATGGACCCCATTTATTTTTTCGAATTAGTAAGTTTTGTTTTCTTTCATTTATATAAAATGTTATCAACTAGGATAAGTACATATTTTATGCCTGGTTCGTTTGCTACAATTTTGGTCGACAACTTTCTTTAATTTCCCACTGGTGGCTTCAGTTAAGTTCTTTTCCATCCTTTTTTTCAGCGTTCTCTTGAAGGTCATGTCGGAGATGTATATACCTGCAGATTTTTTCCATCTGGGCTAGTTGCACTCACAGCAGGCAGTGATATGCAGTTAAAAATTTGGTGTCTCATTACTGGTCGTTGTGCAGCCACTCTTGGTTTAAATTGTACTCGTTCTAACAATAAATATGAACCAGGAGGTCATAGGACTAGTATCCTGGACACAGCCATCATAGATCGTGGTCGTAATATTGCTTCTATAGATCGACTAGGTTGGTTAAGGCTATGGGATGTAGCGACACAAGTAAGTAAATTAAATTTGAATGATTACAAATCCAAGGTCTTTTCATCTACTTAAAACTTTCTTACGAATAGCTAGAAATAAAGGAAATAACAGAAGTTGTAAGCACTAAATTCCATATCAAATGTGTTTTTACTTGCACGTAGTAGTAAAACGATTATCGTTTTCTTTGCTGTGGAAGGCTAAAACGTTGTATTTTGGAGTGTAATTAGACTTGTGCGAGACTTTTCCAAGGCATTTTGTGCGATATTATGACCTAAAAATAATCTTTGAATTCCTTTTAAAACTGCTACACAGAGAAATAAACCTATTTCATCATTAGGCTAAATAACTCAATAATCAGTCAACCATAATTAACAAAGAGCCTCACGTTAGCGAAAGTTGCCGTACGAAATCAACACAAGATGTGCACAACATAATGAGTAACTAAGGAGTCGAAATAATAGTAACACTAGCCACTAACGGTATTATCCGACAAGACGTAGTGAAAACGTTTTGTGTTGTTGAAATTTGAAAAGGCGGAAGTTAAAGTCTGAAAGCATTTGGGTCATAGTAACCAACAATGTTACCCATCTTCATTCACCGATTGAGGTTATCGCCTAGACCCCATCTAGCTAGTCTAAATCTACTAACATGGCTCAGACGTACGGTTATTTACTTTTTAAACTGATCCCTGGTTATGGTTTGGCAGCCCCTATTTTCCGTCCTGAATTATATGGTCGACAGTACGTTGTGATAGGCAGGTTTTGCGTACAAGCAACACATTTCCCAGACAGTCGATGAAGATTCTCATCCTCAACAACAGAATACTACTTAGTTAACATGGATTTGAGTTACATGTTTGCATGAAGTCTAACAACAAATATTTCCTGGCTAGTTATATACTGCTTTTTGAAATTTATATTATTTACCTGTTATGGCAAAAATTATAAACTGTGCTATTCGAGATAATGTGTATGAGTCAATATGCAAAAACATCATATCTCTCAACCTTTATAAATCTGGAGTATACATCAGACAATAGGAAAAATTGAAGTCTGCCGAAACAGTCTGTTTTAGATAAACCTTGGTTTGGTCCACAGAAAATATTCGTCTTAAAATTTCAAATATAATAATACATTTAAATACATAGCTTAGCAGTTTAATTACTTGAGTTGGTACTATTAATTTAGGGGTGTAGGTCGTATTTTGAGCTATCACTATTGACGTTATATCGTCATCGTTGTCTCTGAAGGAATGCTTACATCCAGTGGCAACACCATATTAGTAAGGCAGAGGTTCAGCATCGTGTGTTCGGGCGCAGAGACGATAATCCAATTCGTGTCACCATCTTGAAACATCGACACCGGTGGCTTGGACATGTTCTACGAATATCGTCCCAGAGAATTCCACGTCGTACATTATTTGCCGACTGGTTGGAAAAAGAGGAGAGGTGGTCAGTGTATGACATGGTGTCGTCGCATGAAAGCAAGCTGCAAAAGGCCGGCTTCTATTGGTCTTTCACGACTCCCTGGCTGGGGTCCGAGAGATGGTGCGACACAGTGGCTTGAGACGTTATCAAATATGGCTCAGAATATAAGCCAGTGACGATCCTGCTGTAACCTTCTTTTACTTTCTTCATAAAAAGTGGTCGTATCTTTCATAACTGAAAGATTTCTTCTGATTGTACCTTTCCGTTTTCCCCTATTATTACTATTATTATTACACTACCTTACACTAATCTGGTCGTTATCATTCTTTTTTTTTTCTCATTATTTTGTGTGGCGCATATATATTTGGTGCCCTCTTGTACCAATATTTATGTGTTCAAATAAATAAGTATTGACGTTATGCATAAGCTACTAGGCAAATCGGTTGATGAGTTTATGAATCCTTATTAATCAAAGTAGCCAAGATATGTATTACGTATGTTTAATCACCTCTTACTCCGACGGGCACTGTTTGCTAGTGTAGGAGTAAGTTGTAGGAAAGTTAGAGACGACATGGCATCAGTTCATGAAGTCCTTAACTGTTTATCTGAGTCATGTAAGTAAATGAAAAGTAACTGGACGGGGTCCGCGTGATTAGTAGTTGAGGACTTTAATTAGCATAATGTAAAATCGCCCTGATGCATTCACTCTTTATCTTCTTTCAGATTTGAATCCCATTATTACTTCATATATCTCTTTACATTTCCATGGTCTCAATCCTTAGACTTTTCCACTGTCATTACTACCACATTGTTCCGATCTCACTTGATATTCTTGTCAGTTTTATCTCATCGCCCTATTGCAATATGACACTTAAGGTCAGTTCAAACAAATGCCATACTCTATGTTGATGATAACTCATTGAATGCAAATTGTGTTTCACCTACACCGATTGAGAGTTTACTTTATCGCTAATCCTCACACAAGTGTCAGAAAGTTGGATGCATGGAAATTTACTTAATTATCAAGGTCAGTCAGCAGCAACGTAGGACCAGGCACGTATATGCATCGCTCAAAGTTGCCATACCGCATTAGCACAACAAGATGAACACCGGATTCATAGAAGTAGCTAATTCAGTGGTGGTAATATATAGAAGAAAGATTATGTATAAGGAGATAGTACAGGAAGAAAGAATTAGTTCGTAGAAAGATATGAAGCGATTTTAATCTCTTAATTTAAGGAAGACAGAAAGTGTATACACCGACGCCATTGTGATCGATTCTGAGCCATGTCACCAAGAGTCTCCAACCATTGGTTACGATAGTCACGCGGACCCCAAACGGGCAGTCTGAATCTTCCAACATGGCTCAGACCAGAAGTTAGTGACTCCAAGCACTGGTGCCACGTTTGGGTTTGGCCACCCCTAGCTTTCTTCCAATTATCCCTAACACCGGTTAGCATTGCGCGTCGTGGTATTCTGTGTTCAGGCATACGCAGCACGTGGCCCAACCATCTCAGTCGATGAAGATTCATAACCTCATCAACTGATTTACCATCATTCTTAACACCCTACGTCTAACCTCACTATTACTTACCTGGTGATCCCAGCAGATGCGAACGATATTTCTAAGGCACCTGTGGTCAAATACTAGTAACTTACGAGTATCTTCTACTCTTAAAGGTCATGTTTCGCAGCCGTTTAGTAGAACAGAACGAAAATCATCAAGGTATATTGGCATTGTTACAAGTTATCATCTTGTAGTTTGTATACAACTATATATCAACTAGCAAATGGTCAAACCTCTGGTATTTTCGAACAGAAAGCTTAAAAGGGATGTAATTCAAAAACAACCAGATAAAACTTAAACATTCAAAACTGCTTAGGTTCAACATAGTTAAACTTCTGAAATTAGGAAGTTGAAAATATTAATTCTATTGCGTTGGTCCTGTTACATCGATTCAAAAGAACTCACTTATGAGTTACTGTTAAATTTGTATATTCTTATTTATTCCATTTAGACTTGTATATCAGCAATCCCAGTAACCCTTAGTGCTGTTAAGCCACATACTGTTTTTTCAACGGTTCTCGAAGAAATAACATGCTTAGCAATCCGAAAACATCCTAGTTTACCGATTCAAACAGCTGATCTTATCAACTCAGATTCCTGGTATGAAGGCAAGTTATCGGTTGCTTATTTTAAATATAATGTATTATTGGAACCTTTTTGAATAAAGACACAGTAACGACTGAAAATATTCTAATAGCAAAATATTTCATATTTAGGTTGTGCATCACCATTTGTCGTCATACATACATGCCAGACTAAATGTATCTTTTCCAGTTGCTGTTCATCCCCTTCAGTTCTCGACGTAGTGTGCCCCTTGGCCTTCCTCTTTGCTGTTTCCTTTCAGGATTTCAAGTTAGCGTTTGCCTCGTGATGCAGTTTGATGATTTCCGTAATGTATGTCCTATCTACCTCGAACGCGCTTCCCTAACTTCCTCTTCAGGTTGAAGCTCGTTTGTACCCTCGCACAGTAGGTTGTTACTGATGGTATCCGGTCAACGGATATTGAGTATCTTGCGTAGATAACTGTTTATAAATACTTTCACGTTTTTTGGTGATAGTTGTAGTTCCCTAGGTTTCAGCTCTCTACAGTAAAACGGTCTTGACGTTCGTATTGAAGATTCTGATATTGGCTGACAGACAGTTGTGTTTGAATTCTATATGTTCTTCAACTGTAGGAATGCGGCCGTTGCATTTACATCTGCATCCGGTCCTCCTTGTTTATGGACGATTTCCAGGTACGTATACCTTTACTTTTCTTCTAGAGCTTCTCCATCAAGTGTGATTGTGTTCGCTGTATCTCAAGATCCGGCTTTTTCCTTTGTGTATGTTGAGAACTACTGCTCCAATGGCTGTCTTCACTTACGTTTGTTGTTGTGTATGTGATAGAAGATCGAATCGTCTAGTTGTATCCAAGCTGTCCATTATATTTAGTGCTTATATATATAAAGAATACATCTAAATTGAGCTGGATTGTTTACCTGTTGATTTATTTCTTAACAGTTCAAGAAACATCTTCAACAACAGCCCAAGAAGTTGCTACATCAGATGCCTTGGTTGCTGTTGGAACTGGTGCTAATGCGTCAGTTCGTTTATATGAGCTGGGTGCTCGTCAGAAAGGTTGTGTTGCTCAGTGTACGTTACCGAGTGCCAGTGGATCGGTCGAGGCATGTGCTTTTCCTGAAGATATACCGATACCACTTTCAAAAGAAAATCAATTCATTGATGTACCTAGGAGTTGTGTTTCTAGCTTTATGGACTATGGAATTTTTGCCGGTAGTCAACAAGGAGAACTTGCCTCATGGGACATACGTCAAACAAGACAACCTTTATGGCAGTTAACTCGTAAGTTGATATTTAAGAAAGTTGTTAATATCTTAATTATCAACCTTTTCGAAATTGAGTTACTTCAAAAAAAAACTTGAGTAGGATAACAATAATTACCAATAATATTTAGTCCTAAAATTTCATAATGTTGTGACATTGAATATTTGTTTAATTCTTTAAAATAGATGAAAAAGGTGCTGTTCAACAAATACGTGTATGTAAGCGACCTAATTGTCAATATCTATTACTTGTTGTTAGCCGAAATGACGGACGAACTCTTGTTTATCCATATGATCCAGCCACAGCACATGGTGATGCACAAATTCCTACTAGTCTGGAGCTTACTGGAGTGAATTGTGAACCTATATGTGGTCTTTCAATGGTTTATAAACCATCAGGAGAAATCAGTGTTTGGAATGCAGCTCGCAGTGGAACTGTCAATCAATACACCAAACTTTTAGATGAGATAACATTTAAAAACTTATAACTGACCACAAATGTCAAATGAGTGGAAATCAGATTTTTGTTTTACAGACCAATATCTTTGAATTGTCAACACGGTGAATTTTATCCTTGCATTGAAAATCACGATATTATATTTATCATATGCGTACAAAGCAAACCAGTTATTTCTTTTAAATAATCTTATTGTTATAAAATCATTCAAGAGGAATAAATTAACGACGATCAGTTTTCCCAGTCCCTCGTTTGCCTGAAAATAGATGTTTTGGTTTTAGTGTTGGAATATGACGATCTCCTTCTCCTTTACGTGCTAGTGTTACTACTTTACGTTGAGCAATTTTGGACATGCGTTTAACGGTATCATGCATTTTTTCATCACGTAAACCAGATCTAGATCGCGATACAGATGCACGTGCAATTGAAGCCTCACGGTGCAGATTTGGTGCTGAATTTCGTGCTCTAGCAGCTCTCTTCAGTGAACGACCACGTTCGCCCTAAAAATGATCAAGAAGAACAAATAACTAAGGCTATTTTGTAGACTAAACGTACAAAATGTGAGAAAGCTATTTAATATAAGCAACAAATCCTTTATCTGTGGAAAATCCCGACCAGATTGTCTGGAAAGTATGTGATTTTAATAGCTAAAATCCTTTTAAAAATTTATATAACTATACTTCTAAAAGTTGATAGAAAAAGAGAAATAAAGAAACACTGACTTACTTGCTCATGCATATCCACTTCTAAACCAAGCTCACCCAACTCTTGATGTATTTTATGTACACTGACTGAACGGGCACTTCGAGGTACTTGAGGTCTACGTACTTGCTTACGAGCTCGTGATTCCAAAACACGCAATGCTCGTGCCTCTCTTATCCTATAATAGAGACGATTACATGCATTTAAGCCTCATATAGCACAACAAAGCTTTCGAAGAAAAAAAGTGATTACAAAGAAGACAATTCATTCGAATCAAAAGCTTTACTATGGGTCTTGGTGCAATCACACCAAAAATGTAACACGAATGGCATTATTTATTTTAACACCAGATACAAATTTCATTTGGTTTGTGTGAGGGCTGGAATACTGTCCGGGTGCCCAAACCGGAGCAGAGCACGAATAGGCTAACACATAAACAGAAAGTAGGACAAAAATCTGAATTATTCTCATTTTTAAGCATTGATGCATTTGAATGGTATACTTTTAAATTTCATGCTGCCAGGTTTAGTAGCTCCTCACTTTATTACTATTAAAATACTGATCATGAAGATATAACAGTTTGACAGGTCAACAATATCAATATACAAAAAAATCAAGCTTTGTCTGTTTCAAATTTAGAATTGAAGCAGCTGAAGTTGCTAACGGTTATACATGTAGTTTCAATAGAGTATGTAAAACGTCTTACTTCGATGCGGTTTCTTTGATTTTTTTCATTTCTGGGTCATTTTCCTGCTTCAGTAGTTCAGATTCATCGTAAAACCCAGCATTTTCGAGAGCAGTCTCTTGTTCTTCCAAAGCATTCAGCTTCTCCTCAATTTCAGGATCAAATAGGTCGATCAAGTTATGCCCATTCAAAATCTCAGGGATTATATCATTTGCCTCTTCAGGACATTTTATACGCCAATGCTCTCTCAAATTCAATATGAAACCTTCATCAGGATCAGCTCCTGGTTCACGATCACGCATTGTTCGACAACGTTTTGATGAGTCTTCATCTTCGTCTTCAAGTTGCGAGTTGGGTTGGAGTGAATTAGCAATACGAAGACGTTTTAGCATGCGTCTCCTTTGTTTATCTAGAACACCGTCAGGGATTATCGGTGGACGAGATGGTGTGTCTGTCTACATTAAAATAAATTTGTAAGAGAAATGGATTAATCAGGGTGATTGTAGAACAAAACATGTCATCGGTCAATTAAAACTAGGATTTTGTGAGAAATATGAGCTTTTAAATAAGAGTTCTTGATATGTTTGAGATTGATTAACTAAACTCATTTACTATGTACGAATTTGTGTACTTGACTTTCAGTAAGTATGAAGGTTAGCTATCCTGCCCGGTTAGCCAAAGCCAAGTCGGATGTGGTTCGAAATTGTGACTTTGTGGTCGGAAGTCGAACGCCCTAACGATTGAGCCACTGCGTGAGATTAGCATTGCCTACTCTGTGACTCGCCGAAGTCTTAAAGGTCGTGAAACCTAATGACCTCAGATGTTGTCGGATATGGCTCATCATCGAAATCTGTAGTGATATTGAAGCAGTTTGTTATTTATTATCATTTTAACACAGATATTGCCACAGGGGGGTACCAAATACATACGCACCACACAAATCTCATTTGATATGTGTTAAGGCTGTGATACTGCCCGGATGCCCAGACCGAAGCAGGTGGTTTTCTTAGGGGACCACACCCCGAGCCTTCGACTTGAACGTTTGATCCACAAGGCAGTGGAGCATAGTGAGGAGGTGCAGTCCCAAGGTAGCCGGTGATCAACGATTGGTTCATACGCCATTTGTTCCTTCAGGATACTGGAGCCCATGTGCACCATTGATTTTGGATCCGGTTATAGCGCCGGAAATTCGCTTTTCGTCCTCTCATTTTCGTAAACAACACCCCCGCCACGAGAAGGCAGTGAGTAGGACTTCCCTGGCAGAGGCTATATACGCGTGACCATGTGAGAGCATTTCGAGAGGGAGAGCGGACTCTCCTCACTCTCGGCCGTACCAGGGCATTTGTGGGCAATTGAAGCAGTTGAGATAAGTCAATCTTGAGGTCTTATTCTGTCAAATTTCACAAATTATGATACAACACGGTAAATAAGTCCAGGTTTGTATACTGATTTTTGAGACATACTTTTGTAAGAAGGCTAATGATTCTACTTGGACGTTAAAATCACACAAGATGGAATTGAGTCCCAACATACAGAATAACTTAGATGCGGTATATCCCGTGAAGTAGGACAGTGATGTTTTGTAAAGTGACTAGTGTTAGATGTAGAAGCATATAAAACCACAAAAAATAGCATGTAATATAACCATTCACCTGCAAAATAAGTATATGAGATTACCTTGTTTGCGTCTGGTTTCGGTTTAGCTATATACAATCGATTAGAGATATCAACATTACTGCCTGGTAGAGCGGCAGCTCGAATTTTCGCTTGTACACGTTGAGCTAACAAGTCATCACATGCAACTGAACGAACAGTTATTAAACCAACTTCAGTAACAGTGGACATTTCTACAAAGATTGGTTTATCTGGATCTCTGATCTGTCTATCAGTATGCCACTGGACAATACTATTAATTGATTGTTTATCTTCCTCAGATAGTGCTTCAAATGGTTTGATATCAACCTGGAAAGGGTGAATTAGAAGTTATTTGAGTTCTTACGATTATTTGAACTGTTTAATGAATGAAACCAGTTAGTTATTAGCTTCGTTTTAGAAAAAATATTAATAAGCCACTATTACATGGTAACATGTTAAGGAGATCATTTAGAATACAAAATTATCCATTTACTAGACAGTATGTGCTTTACTCTTAATGAAGACTGGTTCATTCAAACAAACATAATATGGAGAAACCCACCTTAAGCATCTGTTACTATTGTAAAGCACATAAATGTCATGTTCAATTTACGAGTTTATTTGTATGACGAAGATTGAAAGATACTTATCCTGCCATATATAATTGAACTTTACTACTAATCACTGATTTTTACTGAAATTCTGAGAATTTCCTCCAGAAATTGGTAGCTAATAAATATCTGGTTTATATTAGTGCATGTGTTGTATAGAGATTATTTAGTTTATGGTTTACATCACGTACTGACTTTTAAGTACATAACTATTAAGAGCGAGGAAGCAATGGAAAGCTGTTCAGTTTCGATATGAGACATCAACAACTCATGTTCATTACTCTGCAGGGGAATAGGTATGAAACTTTAAATCTCTCTCGGCAAACCCTTCCTTGTAAGTGGGAACACAAAAATAGATCGAGGAACATCTTTTTAATAAATGACTGCACAAACCTACATTAGTACGTTTGTACAAAAAGAAAGGTAGACAAATTAACGTGAAGTAGGACTGGAGCACTAAAACATAGATGATGTTGTTCAGAAAGCGAAATCTGTGGTGCTCTAACGTGGAAATCAATAAAATCAGTTGAAGTAGTGATCATGAATATTGCTAGATTGGAAAAAATATCGACAAGAACATCGAAGATGAAAGAGGTTTTAAATTCGGCAACATCATTTTTGAGATGAATAAATCTATCATTGTTTATTTCAAAAGATGATTGATGTTTAGTTATGCGATGATTTGTTAAGAACAAATACCTCATCAATTTAATATAGCTTCGAGGCAAAAGTTACTGTACCGAATGAGGGCATAGAACTGATCGTCGAAGCAAGACGAAGTTAAGGAGTCAGCAATTCCAACCAGTTTGATCTAAAGTTCATCATGAGTATGATGGGGCATGTAAGTTAAATAATATTCTATGCAGTAACGTCAACATAATAGTAGGTAACGAACTCACATTGAACATCAGTTGTAACACTAAATAAAAAAATTTACGACCATAAAGGTTATAATTTTGAGTCGTAACCTATAACTGGTATCGATGGTAAGGTTCAACGGAAGTGATAGCAATAGTGCAATGTAATGTTAGATAATTACTATCCAAATGTTGTTACTTGGTATCTGTTAGGTTTGCTTGCCTTTTTCCGTTTTTATTCAACGTTGTCATTGATATGCCGTAAGAAATAACCCATTATTTGTGTGATTGTTTATGGATTCATTTTATTATCGTGACGTTCACAATGCGCTGGAATGCCAGATGCTCCTTCAGATGTAGTTTTGTTTGGAGAAGACAGTGAGGAAGAACGAAACTGATTCGATGTTTTAGAAGTGTTGACGAGGTAGCCACTGTTTTGATTAGGAAACAACCTAGTCAAATTTGATATAGCTTCGATGCAAAAGTTACAGTACCATAGATGAGTACAGAACTGATCGTCGAAGCAAGACATAGGTGGTTAAGATTGGAGATTTCTGTTGTCGAACTAGGTACCATCCATCTGGATTGTCACATAGCTTAATTCTCAGTCAATCAGGTCAAATCGACTTGGGTTATGCAACTAACGTAGTTATGTTTACTGAAGACACAGAACTGGACCCATTTACCTACATACACCATTTGTCGTTAGCAAAGTTTTTGTGGACACTGAAGGGAGAATATACTGCACAACTGTTCGTTTTGTATTAA